AAGGTCAAAGACAAAGCTATTCGGTTTCTTGTGAGTACATACACTACACTGCCGATGTAGGGGGCGCCACCTAAAATCTTGCCTAGGGCGCCAGATTGGTTAGGGCCGGGCCTGCTGTTCTCAATTACGTCCGCAAGTCGCCTTTAAATCACGGGGCTGTCTGCTCGTTCTCCAGTAGTGTTTCTACACGGCTTCGAGAAAATGAGTGGACGCGGCAAAGGAGGAAAAGGACTCGGAAAAGGAGGCGCGAAGCGTCACCGGAAAGTTCTTCGTGATAACATCCAAGGTATCACCAAGCCCGCTATCCGCCGTCTGGCCCGCCGTGGCGGTGTGAAGCGTATTTCCGGTCTAATCTACGAGGAGACCCGTGGTGTGCTCAAGGTGTTCCTCGAGAACGTGATCCGTGACGCTGTTACCTACACTGAGCACGCGAAGAGGAAGACTGTGACCGCCATGGACGTGGTGTACGCTCTGAAGAGGCAGGGTCGCACTCTGTATGGTTTCGGAGGTTAAATCCACAGCTCGACTCCACAACACAACGGCTCTTTTAAGAGCCACACACTTCACTTTAAGAGCTTTGTTCTACAATCTTGTTGTTTTTGTCATAGTTTGGAAGGAAGTCCTGAAAATATTAGTGAACTACCTGCCAGGATCACCCACTGACTTCTGAAGCAATAGTATGTTGTAACTTCACAAACTATTACCGACTGACATTCCCAACATATTACAATGACTTACTCTTTCTATAGGCTATAAGATTAAGGTGTTTCTAATGTGTGCTTTTCTTCACAAAATTACAATAACTGACATAACCACAAACTGAACTTCAGAAGTTAGACCTATTCAATACCACTGTTTATTAAAACTCACCTATAGCAGGAGTGTGAACACTCATAGACCAAATGATAGATTTCACTATTTTTTTATTTGTATTTTTTATTTTTGGTTTATTTGTAAATGTCTTCTTGCCAGAAATTCGCTTAAAGCAGAAGTGCTTATTTAGTAAGGTTTTTTCTTTTCTTTTTCTTTTTTTAAAGATAACCAACCCACCTTTGGTCTAGTACAGGGTGGACATGAGTGGATGAAGCTCTAAGAAGCTTTTGAAACTTCTTCCTGATGTCTGCCTGAAATATCATTTTCACCAATCATATCAATGTAACAATTCTGATGTGTGATCTTTCTTTCTCCACAGGCTTACTCAGCCTACAATCCTGACATAACCTTCATACAAGGAACACTATCAAAGTGTTTTAGTACCCAGATTTTATGGACTTGAAATGCAGCATGTCTGTTTAAACTGCAAACAAAGTATCAAAGGCAACTGTAAATGATCTGTGATGAAACGACCCACATCGCAATCAAGAAGTTTTGTCAGGTTGTCTACGTT